GTTCTTTAAATTTATTTAATGAAATTTAATAACAAATGATAGGAAGAATTGTTAAAATAAAAAGGAAGGTTTTAATCCAGAAGTCAAAAAATAAAGCAACAAAAAGCAGAAGAAAAAAAGATCAATCCGTTCACTTTAAGAGGAGAAACGAGAAACGTTGCAAGCACTTCAATCCACAAAGTATAGTTACAAAGAAAAAAAAAGCTTTCCAAAGCAATCCAATATAAGTTAATTTTGCTGCTTAATTCTTTTGCTTAAGGATCTAATTTGGCTTTAAAGAAAAATTTCTTTGGGCAGTCTTTCCCAAAATAGAAAAAATACCTCACCAGATGGACTCACTTTCTCTTTTCACTTCCTTCCTTCCCGAGCCATCCCGACTTCATCATCCTGGGGCTACCTGTTTACTGCTGGCTTGAAGTGCTTTCCTTGGGTCAATCAGGGACTTTGCGATGTCCCTGAGACCAGCAAGTCTTCGTCTTCCTGATCACCGTCTCTGCGGGACGGTTTAGGTCGCAATGGACCGTCCAGCGGCAAAAGTATCAATGGCGATCTCGGAATGTCGAGACCGCATGTTGTAACATCGCGATGTTGGCTCCTCCTTCCACTGCAGTTCTTAAGTGAATCACGTCATTAAGTGGATTACTCCATTGACTTTGCTGGTCAGAAGCCAGCTGGGAAGGTGACAAATGGCAGTTACATGGCCCTGAGATGCTGCAACCATCGTAAATACATGCTGGTTGCCAAGCACCCAAATTTTGATCATGTGACTGTGGGGATGCTGCAACAGTTGTAAGTGTGAGGACCGGTTGTAATTCACTATTTTCAATGCTGTTATCACTTTCAACAGTGACTAAACAAATGGTTGTAAGTCAAGGACTACCGTTACAATGTTCTTACACTGTAATTGATATTTGGATTAAATCATTAGATTAAAAAATGTTTAATTACCATTGTGGAAGCTTTATTTAGTGCTTTCCCTGTGACACCTTTCTACATGTTCCTTGTGTTTTTTTACCGTTCTCTTAAATCAACCATTTTGTGTGCATGGCCAATGTTGTATACATAATTGGACATAAACTCTTGCAAACAAAACTGAGAAATTATATCAAGATAACTGACAGCTACTCAAAATGCAGTATGTCTCATGACAGGAAAAAAAGGTTTCTTAGACTGAAACGCAGTCTTATTCTCATTGGATGCTAAATTTTGAGTTCAGAACTGTAATGCAATTATTACTTTTGTTATAATGTAGGAAACATGATATATAAAGCCTTAATGAAATTATAAAATAAGCCAGTTGTGAAAATTAAAATACAAGAAAATTTTGATGGTTGACTTATCTGCAGGTGGCACATTTTTCAGGATATTTTCATTAAAATTTTGAGGGTCAGCTTACCCACAAATGGGCTTATCTGCGAGTATATGTGATAGGCAGAACATGAGAGGTGTCCATACATTTCTCTGGAAAAAAGTCTTAAATTTTGCCCATCTCCCAGAAGAGACAAATGGAGAAAAAAACTGCATTTTGAAGAGAAATTCTCTGTGTTGCCTTTTTCTTTATATCACAAAGCTCTGAAGCTCTCTGAATTTGTAGGCAAGAAATTGCTTCAAGACATGAGGAGAAACACACATAGCACCTTTCTGCAGATGCATTTTTCCCAGCACAAGCTAGGAAAACTCATTAATCGCAGACAGGAGTTGCTACATGTGAATTCCTGCACACTCCAAAGCATGTTTTTGTTGTTGAATCAGAAATGCAGCACAATTCTATTATACTTTTCTTAAACTGCAGTCAACTTGAATGTTGGTTTTCTTATGTCTATTTCTTTAATTGTAAATCTGGATAATTATGACATCTTAATAATGCAGCATAAAACTTATTAAGCTTGTTTCTACTTTTGCTGGTGGCAGCATTAAGCTGATATTATTGACCTCAAAATAGTTGGGCCTGGTTAATACTTGAATGGGGAGTCCACAGGAGAACACAGACTATATGCTAGAGAGGGAAGTTGTAAAAACATGCTGGAAGAAAGCAGTGGCAAAGCACTTCAATAGTGTTGAAACAAAAATAACATTGGTGTGTCATTGGAGCTACCAAGAGTCAAGGGAAATTTTACTACAGGTAGTCCTCAATTTGTGATCACAATTGGGACCAAAATTTCAGTTGTAAGTCATTGCAGTTTTACATTGAGGCACCAAAATATCTGGAACTGATTTTTCAACCCTTTTTATGGCAGTCATTAAGTGAATCACATGGTCATTAAGCAAATCCATTCTTCCAAATGGGTGATTTTTTTTTCAGAAACTGCAAAAAAGTTGCAAATCATCGTCACATGACTGCAGGATGCTGCAGCTGTTCATAAATGCAAGCTGGCTGCCAAGCACATGAAGTGTGGTCATGTGACTCCAGGGGTACTAGCATCGTTTTACGATGGTGGGAAGTGCTTTACAAGCCATAAAGCACCTTTTCCTTGTAACTTCAAATGCTCATTAAATGACTGACCGGTTGTTAGTAAATGAGTAGCTGTAAATAGAGGGATTAATTTCCATGCTTGACCATCTGGTGCTGATTGAAATCTGTTAAAAATGAGCATTTTTCTCCTGCAGTTGAAAATGGTGAACATTGTGACTTCACAATTCTAAGGAACATGTTGATAAGGTAAGCAAGTAATTTATAATTTTAATATTGGCAATACTTTTTATTTATTCCATATATTGGACCTTTCCTATATTTTACAATAAGAGGAACTTGGAGTAAAAGAAGGCTTGACTATTTTCAGTGGAGGGTGTTGTGTGATGGCACAAAAGAGAGTAAGAAGAAAAACTTGACATCTAATGTGAAAACATGGTTATTTGCCCATTTTATATAGTAAATTTGGGAGATAGTTTGTTGGCTATAATTTGAAATGAAATCAACATGAAATGCATCACAGAATAACATTGTATTCTGCCCATTGGGGGTACAAATATAGAATTTTCCAACCCTGAACTAATTTGCATTAACCATAATATTTCAGTTTTCAAATGAACTTTTGAAAACCATGTCAAACACACTTTGAAAGCAAAATTTAACACTATTCCTTATAGAAGCTATGCTACTATGCAGGAAATAAGTTGCTGACAGGTTTTTGGTTTTCTTCCCTAGAACTCACATGCAAGACCTGAAAGATGTCACTAATAATGTCCATTATGAGAATTATAGAAGCAGAAAATTGGCAGCTGTAACATACAATGGAATTGACAACAACAAAAATAAAGGGCAGTTAACAAAGTAAGTGTTAATTTAGATTTAGTTATAGCTTGTTCTGCCTGGTCCTGGAGAACTATTTGTGGGTAAATATTCTGCCAGCCTATTAAATTTTTAAAGACTTGTAAAACAACAATATAATCATGTCTTCCAGTTACCGTATCATATAAATGGTAGCAGTACAGTAAGAGCACATTGCTGTTCTTTAGATGTGGGCTTCTGATCATTGATTGGACAGGGTGAGAAACAGGATACTAGACTAAACAGACTTTATCCCACCGAAACACTCTTCTGTAGAATGCAGTCTGTGCATGTTGTGTTGATTTTGTCCAAACTTATTCTCAAATATGTACATGCATTGGATTGTAGCTGGATGTTTTTAAATAATGAAAGAATTTCTATGGTGCTGCTAGCAGGTTATACACAACAAATATACTGATGAGCTACCGGTATTTGAAATTATTTGAACTTGTGCTACGCATACTCTGTTTTTGTATGTGCTTCAGATTTCAGTCCAGTGTTCTCAAGATTTTTACCACAGCACTTCATAAATTACTTCTGGTATTTGTGTGTGCATTCCACATAAAAAAACTGGTGGGAAGAATGAATATTATTTTTCAAACAACAATTCATCTTCTTGCCATTTTGATAGGAGAAGCACCCATTGTCAGGCCTGCAGTTATATCCTTTTTAGGATCTTTGGCCTACCACACTCTCTATTATTTCATTATGCTGTTTCATTAGTGTAGTANGGATGTCAAACTATATCTTTCATGGGACGTATCATGATGTATCGTGACATTTTATGCCTTTGCGGAGCTGGGGTGGGTGTGTTCTGCATGTGACACATCCAGCCCACAGGCCACCAGTTTGACACCCCTAAATTAGGTTCCTAGGTGGACTAGGTTCCTAGGTGGATCCAAAACATTGCAAGCTACTGTTCACTTGGAGTTCTACGGCATCATGCTGAAATTCATTTGCCGTGAGAAAAGATAAGGTGAGTTTTCTTGACTGCTGCAGTAAGGCCATACTGTCTGGTTGCTGATGAAGAGATATAATTTCTTGGTCTTCTATTGTGAAAATTCAATGAGCTATTTTCCTTGACCTGGAGTCATCCTTCTGCAGACAAGGCCTTGCTTGCCACCGGAACTGATGTAAATGGTTCACCCCCATTCCCAAAAGTTAGCAAGGATTTTGAACTCAGTTGAGCTTAGTTGTAGTTGTAAGTCAAGTACTACCAAGTAATATGTTGACCATACAATTTTCATAAGAAAAGTGTATTATTTGTTACTTATTAACAAAGGTAGGAAAAAGTTAGGCACAATTTGTTGATCAGTCATGGATTAAATAGAGGGATTCCAAACAATAAAAAGCCATTTTTGTATTAAAAATAAAATAAGCAAAATAAATTGGCAAAACTTCCCAAATTTTATGGGTAATGTCATACTGATAATCACTGAAGCAAGTTATTTCCATGAAGTGATATCCCCCATCAAACTAAACATTGTGATTGCTGTCATAACCCAGCACTCCCCATTTGGTCTAATGCATGAAATATTACATTTTACAGTTCTGAGACTGCCAAAATCAATGCACCATGGTGCCAGTAAAATGAAAGAGACCACACATGTACCAATGTCTGCAAAATTGGGGCTCACACCGCTACTGTAGACCTGTGAACAGACAGAATACTGCTGATCTGCATTTTAGGTAAATCAAAAGATTCTACTTAAATAACAATTTAACAACTTACTTTTATTGCCTACAAGGGCCACACGTGGTTGAGTTTCTGACTCTTCATTGACCTTCTTTACAACATTATGCCAATTTTCTAAATTTTCAAAGCTCTGTTGGTTCGTAACATCATACACCAAAAGGATAGCCTGGAAAGAAAAAGCTTATGTGAAGAGAATACTAATGACAAAAAATCAGACAACTAAATTGCGTAAACTGCACAAGGGGAAAGATAACTTTCAAGTTCATGTATACCACACAGATATCAGCATATTCTATACAAAATCCAGTGATTAAAAAATTATACTGTTTTTAAAATGTTTTTTCATTATTAATGTTGATAAAACAGCTGCAGTAAAAATATTTTTTTTAGTTTTGCTTATAGGCTGCTTCAACTGTATAATACTGAGAATTTTATCTATGTATTAGATTACTACACTACTATAATCAAGCAATTTTTATTTTTATTTATTGAATTTTTTTGTTGCCCATCTAGCAAACTGGGTGTCTTGCAACATTAAAAGCAATAAAACCATAAAATATTCATATAACTGATCATGATAAAAAAACTGATCATGATAAAAAAAATAGATTATGCCTAAAAGATGGAGAGGTAGAAAGCAGAATGTACAGGGGAAGATTAGATCTACTATTGGTCTACCAACCCCCCTCAAGCGTGATATTCCCCAATCAGGGCCCCAAGACAACCGACTTAGTCAGATCTTTAGACCTTTACAGAAGGTGAGGAGGGTGGAAGCCAACCTCACCTCAGAAAGTAAGATGTTCCAAAGGACAGGAGCTGTGGCAGAGAAGACTCTTCTCCTAGAGAATTCCCTGGCCAACAGGGTCCACAACATGCCTCCTTGCCAGCACGTGGGGACTGGTGAGACAATTCCTCAAACAGCCTAGACCCATGCCATGTACAGGGCTTCAAAAGTGGTGTACAACAACATTCACAAATGTAAGTAACTATAAAATATGCACAACATAATACAACCATTAGCAATTTTAAAAAGATCTTAAAGGAATATAAAATACATATATTTAAAAGTATTTTGGAAGAGCACCTTTTTAACTCAGATCCAGAACAACAATATCATGGTTAATCCAGCTTCTTGGATAATAAATGAGAATAACTGAATTATTTATACCCTCACTGGCAGTTAAACTCGGTTTTAGTTTGTAGATTATCATAATCCCGTGATGGCGAACCTATGGTACGCATGCCACAGGTGGCACACAGAGCCCTCTCTATGAGCACACGAACCATCAC